GTAAATTTCAAAGTGAAATTCGGTAAGATTGAGTAGAGAATATCCTGGTGAATTTCAACTTGCAACTTTCCATCTTGTCTGGTTCCCGTAATCTTTTTCACATTAAAAAATTTGCATTTTTTTTAGGCGTCCATACATGAGACCCAGGCATAGGTGGACGATTATTTCAGCTGCTGGAATGGCACCTAGACTAGAAATATCCTTGTGAGACCTCCTGCTCTCTAGCTTCTGCGGTTACTAAGTTGAATGTGAGTGACCAAAAATCCGAATACCAGGCTTGCCAACAACTTCTTGCTAATATTTGTCTGCATTTGCATAAATATGTAAAAACGCATAAAAAACAACATCCTTCGTCATTTAACCCCCCCAAAACCACCAGAGAAAAACTTCTTTCCTCGAATTTTTCACGATCTGTGGCAATAATTTTCCGTAAATTCAGTGAAAGATTGCTTCAAATATCATTGATAGAGGCTTAGGCAATTGAATTTTCATTCGCATTTTTTAGCTTTCATTGTCTCAGTTTCTTAATACACATGTATACGCACAACACAAACAGAAACGCGCGTAGACACACTCAAACAGACAGAAGCATACACACATAAGCAGATAGAAGCACAAACACCCTATTGAAATGAAAAAGGAGAAGAGGGAGTATTGCTGAATTGATGATGCTCTTAAAAGAAGATCGACATTGCCCTGCTTCTTTTAAAAAACTAGTTCCATCTCATTCCCGTATCTATTTTACACTCAACAACCCCTTCCTTCCAATCAACTAACTAACCAGACTCTATTCCTTCCTCAAAACTCTTACACAACCTTGAACGCTACTTTGCGCCACAAATTCTTAAACTCTTCTTGACACCCGCAGCTGTCTCTCTCTCCATTTCTCCCAGCTCCCATCCAGTCACACCTTTCTCGGATGGATAGCCGCGACGATGCTTTCATTAGTGTGTTTAGTGCGCCAAATAATGCATCTAAATTATCGCGCACAGTACAGTGCGGGATAGTGGTTTATAATTGTGGGGCAAGGCAAGCTGGGGTCTTGAAATCTTATAGTTTTAATTGATTTCATCATGCCGCGCGAATGGCCCGAAATTGACTTCCAAATCGAGCATCCCTTACCGGTAACTCAAGCATCTGACTTCGGTTGTGTGCACACTCGAGAAAGTGCACTGGAAGTGAACTCACTGCTTCATGTCTTCACAAGCTTTTCCAATGCCTAAGAAAGGCGAAGCATGCAACCGTAAAAAAGGCAAAAAAAGAAAGGCTTTATTAAACTCATTCCCTTTAATTTCCTTTCATTTTTTTTCACTCCAATCTGACAGTTTTGATTTTCATTAGGTGCGAATGGAAACCATGAAATTTGTGTATTAGCTGGACTATCGACTACTAATCAAAATCATCAAGATCGTCCTAAAAGTCAATTCGTCAGCGGCAATAAGTCATATTCTCAAGACATGCACGTCACAGAATAAGATCAAAAAATCTGGAAAAATATTGAAATGAAATTATAGTTATGAAAAGACAAATATTTCAGTCACGTGCTTACTCGAAAAGAGTTAGGCACAGCAATTTTTATGGGCGCGTTACAGTGTTAGAAGTCTCAAAAGGGGCGAAGGAAGAGGGAAAGGAAGTGGTGTCATTAGAAGAAAAAAAATTGTCTGGATCCGGGAGGAATGTGCGGTGAGTGCTTTACCGCGAACTGGTGCCCATTACGAAAACTGATGATACTATTAGTAAATGGCGGAAAAAATTTTTCCATCAAAAATTCAAAAATTTCGACAAATGCATTAACTGATTTCTAGAAAGCCGTCCCCTTACCATGTTCTTTTTTCTCCACTCTCTCTGTCCTGTACATTTGCGCTCATCCACATAAGGTTCGGAAGGAACGTCCTTTAAAATCAACTACAGAAAATAAAATAAGTGAGGTGAGGCACATTTAATTTAGTATGTGAATCTATATCAGTACTGCAGTCTTCTTTGGAAAAATAAATTTTTAGAAAGCACTGCTGCATTGGAATATTTTGTTAAACTGTTAGAAATATGAAATGAATTAGCTTCTGAGGCATTTTTCTGTAGCGGTAGCACAGTGCAGAATTCATGCCATACTAATACTGAAAAACGTTGTCTTCATCTCATTCTGTGCCTCGTCTCTTCAATAACAGCGAAGATTCCAGAACTGTTTTTCAGTGGATAAAGACACGACTGTGTAGCAAATCATGCTAATTGCTGAGAGATTCATTTTTTAAAAATATCTGTTTTGTGAAGTAAAAATATCATGATAATGCAATATTTAGGATTTCACAAAAATTGATGTCTAGTCTTCTCCTGCTGTCAAAGTGCAGTTGTATACTCAGTGGCTCCTTCTAAATTGCTTATCTTAAATTTACACTGACCATTTTCGTCAGTCACGCGTGCCATCCACGTTTACTTTCGAAAGCAGTATAATAATGTGCACCAGTTCGCACATCAGGTCTTTGAAAGCTAATTTTCTGTTTTTTTAGCACGCGACACTGGTTATAAATTTTGGCTCTGAGATCGCAGGTTAAAATGCCCATTTGATTTATATTGAATATTGGGCTAATTCCTCAAAATATTGAGTTCTGTCCTGGTTCTTTTTCGGATTGCAAAGTTTATCTGAATTTGAATTTAAGATTATAAATTAGCAGGGCGATGCGGGTTAGTTCAGGGTTATCGCCTTGCATGCAGTCAGGTTCGACGCCTTCATGCTTTTAGAAACGAACCATATGGTCAGACAGAGACAATCATACGTTTTCAGAATTTCTTCGAATTCAGCGCATACATTCCTTCTTCTCTGCTGGCCAATGAGATGTCTCCATTCCCCTTTCATTCATTGATTTTCAAAAGAAGTGTATCGATTACCGTATCAGTTACACTCCGTCCACTTACATGCATATTTCATGCCTGGATACGGTATTTCTTAAACCAGAAATAAAATTGTGAGATTGGACTACTTAATGCCTCGTTTACTTACAGCAAGGAATAGGCGGAGGGCTGGATGGTGAGGTGAGAGATATCAGCTAAGGAATGAAACTCAGGCTGCATTGTAAAATGTGATTTTATACATGACTCTAAGCCCAGTCCTTTTATTCTACTATTATTCTCAATGAAACAGCATATATTTAAAATGAAGTAATGCAGAAGGGAGCCGCTGCTGTATAATTTGAGGAATTGACAACAAGTGGATATGCAATAGAAACCACACTCCCACGTTTGCTTAACCGGTACAGGTTCTTCAAGCAGCCGTTTCATTTCATGGTAGACAGCGTAGTAAGAGCATGGATAGGCCTGAATGAATGATAAAATAACTTGGGGCAGCGATGGCATCAATATCAATCTCATCAGACCTCAAACCTTGAAAGACTTTTGACGTTTGATCCAACTGACACTTAGCTGAAAACACGGTACCCAACAACTAGCGAGAACCAAAAGCAGTTTAGCTAAATGTAAAAAAAGCAGCAAGATAACAAAAAATTTTGTGGCCGGTCTCCTTCCCCTTTTCAGACTTGCGTACTTTTCGCGAAAATTATCAGTAGCCCCAAGCAAATTTTCTCAATGAGAAACGGTTGAGGGAGCAACCTGGATTCGCAGTTTCCCCTTACACAGCGAGCCAGCATAAAACTTCTCGCGTCCGAATCAAAATGCCGTGAAGGTTCCGTTTTCCGGACAGATAGAACAAGGACATGTGTGTAACCACATGAACTACAGAATGTTGCGCACCAACAAACAGACAGACGAGTATGCTGACTAATCATCAATTTATAACATAGCAGAAAAGTAGGCGTACAGGCCTATTACCTGATATGTACAGATAAGTGTGTGGGCTTTAAACTGCAGCAGTTCTTTGCAAGATTCCTCGAAATTTTGCCATTATTTTCTTTTAAGACTTTTGACAGAACTAATTGCTAGGCTTTTAACAAATTAGACTCAATTTTAGAAAGCTTAATTGATATATACATACGCAGTCACATACATAAATACGCACAAACGCACGTACCCCAATGTTTTATCAAATTACAGAATGTCCACATGCATAAGCATTCCAAGAGCACGCTCTAATACAGCTTAAGCAGAATGCTAATAATGATGCGTAGTGCAATTTGGAAAAATAACAAAGTTTAAGGCCATTGCAAACTTCCTAAAAAAACTAAAACAGCAGCATCAGTAGTTCCTGCATTACAGTTTAACATGCGGACACATGCTGGCTGTATTTCTTGGCATTTTCTTGCACGTCAGGGAAAAAGGCTTTGGTTAGAATGGTGGTGTTGCATCATAGAATCAGTTGGCCTCTAGCGTTGTATGATGATTAACAATTTTGCATAAAGTCCAGTCGTTTTTCCGTGAGTAATCACCCATCAAAAAATATTCCATCAAATTTTCAGCTAGTCTAGAATTGGCACAGTGCCAATTGCTAGCTTTAACGTGACTACACTTGTGGCGTATGGGTCGCAACAGTTGAATTTAAAATCTTTAGCTCAAACATATACGGAGAAGATCAGCGTGAAATTTCAGCTTTCTAGCTTGTCTGGTTTTCGCAATCGTTCTCCGGCCGCAAAATTTGCATATTTTTCCCTACGTTCGTCCATGAGATCCAGACGTTGGTGAACGGTGATTTCAGGAATAAGGGTGATAATTTGTGTTGGGAACAAGCTCGCAAAATTTCAGCCTCCCAACTTTCCTGGTTATCGAATTAAAAATGGGTGACAAAGTTTGTTCGCCCACACAGACTCACACAAACACACCGCATACCTCTCGACAGTACACATTTTTGCTCACTGTAGTAATGTTATAGCGCTGCAAAGCAGAAGCACATAGTAAACGGCGAAACTCGCTAGAAAGCAAATGCGCTATGTTTTCTGGTTAGTTCCTGTGAATGCAAAATGAGATAATATGGCGGGATAATAGCGTTTTGCTTATCTAGCATTTGTCCGGGCAAACATTTCGCTATCATGACCAGCCGTTCAAAAATTTTAACGTTAATGTTTTGGCATTATATCGTGAGCCTGAGCAGCTGGGGCTTGCCTGTTATCCACTCATTTGCATCACTGCTGAAATTCAATTACCGAAATTTCAAGTTTGTAGCTCACCCCACTTTAGCATTGCAGCAACAGCCTGATGGTCTGAGGTTAGAACGAGATATAACAGCTGATTACGACTTATTTTAAATACAGCTGACATAATACTTTCATTCTTCTATCCACCTACAATCTTCTTTTTACTCCCTGAATCATTATAAATCGATGAAGCGAAAATCACTGTTTAATTGTTTTTTTTTTTTTAAGCGAAAAAGCACCGCTTAACTATTTCCTTTCTTAACAGTCCCACTGGTCTGAGATACTTTGCATCAATAAAGTTTAAAAGCGCGAGCACCTAGTAAAGGTGATCCACACTTGCAGCAAAAGTCTAGATCCAATTATTTGTTCAGCTGACATCCAGTTAGAAAACCGTAGCTTTAAAAAGGTATTAGCTTTCCAATGTGACGGAACACAGTGCCATCTTTTATGCTTTTGCGCGCCTTGAAAGTCAGTAGAATAAGACTGAACTAAGAAAAAAGAGCTAAATAATGAATGACGTCACTCCATTTCGCAAAAGACGATTGCTCCACAGCAATTTTGAAATGAAATATCATGAGCACTAGGCATTCACACGTTTAAAAGCACCAAAAATTGCTCGCAAATGTTACTAAAAATTAATTTTTCAGAGCAAATGAGTTAAATGGTGTGAAGAAGAGTCCGGGCTCAGACAATTCGGAAGATTCGGAGATTGAAGAAGAGGAGGATCTGTTCGACAATGCGCTCGCCGATTCACCTACTCCATCCGAAGAAAGTTCAAGCAACACGAAGCCGCGCGATTTGACAGCTAGAGGTATAACCGCAGCTGCAGCCTCAAAATCGTCATCTCCCTCCGCAGAACCATCACCATGCGCCAGTGTCGTGCCGACTGCTGCGATCTTTGGCGCGTTTGATCCGATGCAATTCGATCCCTTGCGATTACTTATGAATCGATCCTTGAATCCAGCTGTAGTTAACCCGCTCCTAGCACAGCCGGCCACACTACTCAACTTACAGCAGCAGCTCTCCAGGCAGATGTCGGCAACTTTTGCGCATTCTGGTTTTAAATTGTCAGATGCTGAGCTCGCAATCAACTTACAAAGACAGCAACAACAGCAGCAGCTGCCACACAGCAGTGGAACTTCAGATGTAGATGTCGGGCCGCAAAATGACCGCAAACGAAGCAACGCAACTTTGGAAGATATGCCAAAACGTGACGATGAGTGCTCCACAATGAAAACACCCAAACGTTCTAAGCTGTTGATCGACGAAATCCTGAATCTGAAAACAAGCGAGGGAACTGCTCATAAAAGTGAGCCGGAAACGCCTTCGGTAGTAAAACGAGAGCGCGCTACGGATCAGGATATCGCGATTACTAAAGAAAACACGGAAGTAGCTATTAATGATCATGAAAGTTTTGGGAGCGATACGGTAGCTAGCATTACCACTGCTAGCGCTAGTACTCTTATTAGACGTTCTACCAGTGCCATTGTAACCGAATAGTTTTTTGATTTGAAAATGAATCTTATAAGCGAATGTGGCAACAATGCAGTCAGAGCTTGCTTACGGTAAAAAATCCCGGTTGGGCGGTATAACGGTGGGCAAGGCAAATGACACAGGTGCAACCCATTTCTAAGAAGTAAGATGAATTCCCGTCTTTTCCCTCTGAAAAATGCGTAATTATTTCTTGGCTTGTTTCGTAAATGTCACTCGAGCAACACTTTAAGAGATTGGGATACGGCGGACAGTGGGTAACAGTTGATTTTTATCGCAGCGATGGCTGAGTTGAACATGACGGTGTTTTAAATCTTTTAAATTTTAGTAAAGTTTTTAAAATTTTAAATAAACTGCAAAACGCTTTGTCATTTTAGCCAAAAAAATTATTATTTTTTTCTTAAAACTGAACAATGAACTTTTTCCAGCAAATTAAAAGATGCTCCATTTAAAAAAAAACCATATGCCATATTGGCCAAAAAAGCTGCAAAGACTTTTAAAAAATGACAAACCCGGGGAATTAAGTTTTCAGTATTCTCAAGTTTTTTTTACAAAATGGGGACACAGACAAGAATTTCAGATTTTTATCTTCAAACCAGCACCCTGACTTTTTAGCCATTGACCGTATCCGCTGTTTTTTTGTAGGATTAGTTTGTTGGGCCTGAAAGCCGCATTGTTAGTTTACATCATTTCTATATATGTATATATTAATATAATGCTATATATAGTTACATAAGCTACAAATGTACTATATATTGAATATATCTGCTTGCTTCCGTGAAAAGTCTGTTGTTTAGGTTTAATTAGACTATGTCGTTTTGTCAGCATATTTCCGTGGTTGTGACGTATGGAAAAAAAACTTTTTAAACTATTATTTTGCAGGATATGATAACTAAAGTATGCAAGAACAAGATACAGTGATGATATACTAGTATATGATTGAAGACATACGGCAAGTTCTCTGAAAACACTGGTTCACAGGCACTAGCTGCTACGGAAAACGAGGAAAAATCACTTGTGGCTGAATGGGGATAAGGGATGAGGGGAAAAGGACGGAAGGAGGAGAGGGATAACTTTAGGGAGATAATGTACATAAATAAAAGATTTACTGATTTGAAACTGGAGATGAAAAAAACGGAACGCGAGAAGAGCTGGTGTAGGGGCGTTTAAAAAGTGGCGCAGCCAAGCAACGTTAAAGATTACATGCTGGAAATCCTGGAAATTTTTATAAAGGCGATCCTGTAGGATAGGAATTGGGAAAGGAATTAAAAAGGTGAAAAAGTCTGTTCCGACGGAAGTGCAGAAACACGCAAAAATGTGGCGCACTTTGATTCTTCTGTATTTCATCATTCCACATCGATTATTGACAAGAATTTTTAATTCTATAAAAATTCCTGTTTTCCTGCACGCATTTATTTGGAAGCTGAATCTTGCTCATTATGATTCGACTTTTAAAACAATTTTTATGCGTTTTTGCATGACTTAGAAAACTCGGAGCAAGTTTTGTATCTCCACTGGTATGTATAACAGGCTGTAAGCACAGTTTGAATCGAGAAATTTCTGGGACGTAGTCTCCGACAATGCAGTGATTCGTTAATATTGATACAAGCCACAGCAAACGATATCTTTTGTCGTGATTTTGGATCCAAGTTCCACCTAATAGCAGAAACTGGCAACAAAGAGGCCATGGGTTCGAAACTTTTTAGTTTTTAGCTCAGAGCACAGCTGGAATGAATAATCTAGATTCAGTCTGAACATCACTATGTTCCAATCCATCACTCGAGTCTCAGATTCAAACAAATGTTTTAGCTCGACAGTCAAAAATCTACAAACTGAAGTTATGCATTTATCGCAAAATGCAGAGTGAATTAGATTTTAGACCTTACTTTTTTTTTGTTTTGATCTCACTTGTAAATGCAAGTTAATTTTATAATTTCAGAACGAAGTAAGCTAGAAGCTCGGTATTCCCGGGTATTATTTTAATGCATAATGCTAAGTGAATGATGAGGCCACTTTGTCCCGATCTATGCACTCTGCGATGGAAATGCAGGTTGAGACTAGAAGTTTCGAGTAGCACAAGCAGAAAGTTTTAAAATTAGTGTTTCCATGTACTTGATAGTTATAGTAATGAAGCGAAAAAGCGTTTTTTTCGTCTCCCAACACTCACTTATTCTGCGGCCCTGTGGCGCGAGCAGTGAACTCGTGCAGTGGTCCTGTGCTTCGCGCCGCTATTTATTTGATATTCTATTGTGTAACTTAGGCTTGTTTTCGATGTATTAGTGATGAAGTGAATGATAACATGCTGTTTACAGTTGACGTGTCACATGAAAGTAGCTTACGATAATTGTCCTCAACGTAAGGATATTTTTTCATTCTAACAAAAGCAATGTATTAAATCGGTAAATAGCGTGCCAAAAGATGTCAGAAAAGAAAAAAAAGAGGTCGTCATCGCTCCTTGCTCTGCGCTGAAAGCATCGAGGTCCGGGTGGAAGGAAATGTAAAAATTGCCTTAGGGGTACAAAATTCATTTAAAATGATGCAAAACTCAAGCAAACAATTTTTAAATCAGTTTGGAATTGTTAAGCTGCAGCAAAAGGCAGCTGAATGGGGCCCAAAAAATGCTAAATTTGTCATCAAAGCACTGCGCTGCTCGGAAAAGTGAGGAGAAGTACTTTTTTAAGGTGGGATGCCTAAAACTTGTGCGCACCCTTTTTGTCGGATCTTGCAAGGTGCACCACTAACTCTAATTCTTATTATTGTCACGCATGAGTGGTTTAATCAAATGACATGTCTTTGATTTTAAAACCCATTAGAGAGTCGAAGGGTTTCGCGTTCAGATATGCGCGCATCGGTGAATAAAGGCATTTATCGACAGATGAATGGATATATAAGTGGTTGGGTTAATTGCAGTAACATGGTGCTATAACACTTTAGTGATAAGTATTTATCGTCTACGTTATTATCGCCGTAACTATCACTGTCGCTTCACCCCCATCTCGCCAACATCACCAATTTCGCTTGTAGCAATGTGATTCACTTGCAAGGACAAAAGATGAAGGATGGTGGAAAAGAGTGGATAGGGGCAACCACTTTACTTTTACAATAAAGAGGCAAAAGTTATATAGGTAGGAAAAAGAAAGCTCGGAAAATAACAAACACCGAAAAGACACGAATAATCAGAGCGCGCCAAGATTAACCGCTTGCCAGAACAGATGCGTAATCCGTCATTACTAGGCGCAATATCTGAATAAAAGTGTGCAAAAATTTGCCAGAGCAAATTCGGCTAAACTTACTTGGAATACTTGTAGACTTTTTTTCACCTAAGAAGGTACAAGCTCAGCCTGGTGTCTTCAAATTTTTTTTTTAAACTCCGTTAGGCATTCCCATTTAAATATTTAAAGCAAATACTTATGGTAAAATCATCATTCCTCATTTTTTGTTGAAAACAGTTGCGTCGGTAATTTTTTGCATGAAAAGGTCAAAGTTTTTTTTTTAATTCCGTTAATTAATCAAACAGACTTTAGCTGAAACTGCTCAGCGATTGCATGACGGCATAATGGGGCGCATGAGACCGGTGCGGAGATACGAAGCAGCTATTTTGCTATCACCAAAGCCTTTTGCTGCTAACTTTACACTTTTATGTCTGCTGTCAAACACGTCCTTGATCCTGCGTTTGTTGTTTACGAGTTTCACAGAACATCCGTTTTTTATGCATTTTTGCTATGCAGCGCTATAGTGCTGCTACAGCCAGCAAAAATGCATATTGTCAAGAGGCTGTCTGTCTGTTTGTTTTCGGAAAAGGGTGCATTTTATCACCCACCTTCATCTCAGCAACCTGGAAAGCTGGAAGGCTGAAATTTTGGGTTTATGCTTCTACCCTGTGTGCCACTCTCCCGTTTCAAGATTTTCCTTCACACGAGCCTAGGCTTCGCGTACGGACCCCCGAAAAAAATATGCAAATTTCTTTAGCGGGGACGATTTTGCGAACCAGGCAAGGTACAAAAGCTGAAACTGCAGGAATATTTTCTGTGCATGCGCGAGCTAAGGATTTCAAATTCAGTCTTTAGGTATGAGTGGCACTCACATAAGGGCGCATGAAAGTTTTGGCAGGAAAATTGCTAATTCGGGAACCGGAGCAGTTAGAAAGCTGAAATTTTGGATAAATGCTTCCTGTTCAAGTGCGACTTAAATATTTTTAATTCAGAGAGGTATGCGTGGTTCTCACTTACTAGCAATTAAAAGTTTTGGCGGGAAAATTAAGGAGCTAATTTACTTTCAAAGAACGACTGTTAAAGGAAATTTACAGTTACTTTAGGCAAAATTTATGGTGATTTATGCTAGTGAGCGCAAAAGGTAGGTGTAAAGCAATAACCACTCGTGCAGTTAATGACCTGAAATACTTCATGTCCGGTGCAAAAACGCATGATCGCACTGGCAAGCTTGGTGCGTTCCAGCCTGGGCTTTTTTTTTGTGTAATTCCAATCTTGTATCTGAAAAAGCAGTCACGCACAAAATGCTTATTAGCGTTGAAGAATTAGTGATACAGAACCAGAACGAATTCATTCCCTCTAGTAGTAGTCATCAACTCTGTTCATTAGTACCTGCTCTGGACATAGCCCTATTACTAGCCGTTATCTAGTTTCTAATTCAGTCACGATGATTATCAGAAGAACTAATGGATCACTTAATTGATTTTCTTCCCGCCAGTTCTAGACCAGTTACGACTGCAATTTTACAAAGGCTCATTACAAGCGTACCCATCCATTTTGCTAGCTTCTGCTTCCGAATATTCATTTAATTTCGGGAACTCACAATTTAGTAACTTACACCACAACTGGCTGAGGCGTCCTCTACGTCGGTCCGTTACTAAATAATTGTTATTCATCACTTGCAGTTATGCGATATTACGTTAAGAACCGAACACCTAAGTGGTGTTAACAACGCTCACGCTGACACAACTGGTTATTCAGCAGAATCCTTGACATTGTCGATAGGTGACAGTTGTCAGTAATTCATATTACTAGCAAATCATCATTGAACCATCATCCTCAACAAATCGATATCTCTGTAGCCAACAGTCTTCATCATTCAGATCACTATTGTCGACGAGTCACCATTCTGTTCATTAGTACCATCAATAAATTATGATCATCGACAAGTTGTCACCTCTCTCTTCAACTGCTTTTTAGCAAGTATCATTCGTCTTGTTTGATTAAAGTACAAAAGCCAGACTGGAACGCACCGAGCGGGCCCTTGCTATCATACGTTTTTGCACCGGACTTGAAGTACTCAGGTCATTAACTGCATGAATGATTGTTGCTTTACACCTA